CGACCATGGACCATGACACCGATGACCAGGAGGATGGTGAAGAAGATCACTTTCAACATGGGAGAGTTCGACAAGAACGAAAGCTGAGTCACAACACATTCCAATTGTCTGCTCTAACCTCGTTACGCGGGTATTTAGCACTGCTCACGCGCTTCATGTGAAGTTCACGCCGGAAACTAATCTATGGCTCACTTCGCAGGACGCCGGAAATCAGCATCTATACTATAGATGCTAGTAGGAGTAAGAACTTCAAGCAATCTTACTGCCTACATCTGAAGAGGAGCCATCTCTAAGAAGACTGCAAAGTCCAATCCTAACAAGATGCTTGCGAGTACCGATGGTGAACCATTCAACTGCACGTAAGCTCATAACTCGTTGGATGATAGAGTGTCTAGCCTGCACGCCATCAGTCATCTACTGCCGTACTGAATACAACTGACGAATGGAGAGCTACGCAACTCGGTTTGAGTCAGGATAACCAACATTTCGATTCTCAGTTAATATGTTAGTGATTTGTCTATTAAAATAACATTACACTGAGTGGATCCCGCGCCGGTTTCGCCAAGAAACCCAACCCATCGCTCTAACGAATTGCGCGCGCTGGGCTACCGGGGTCGAGTGTCCGCACAATCCGGGTCGAGTGTCCGCACAATCCGGGTCGAGTGTCCGCACAATCCGGGTCGAGTGTCCGCACACAACGGGTCGAGTGTCCGCACAATCCGGGTCGAGTGTCCGCACAATCCGGGTCGAGTGTCCGCACAATCCGGGTCGAGTGTCCGCACCCGCGGACGGAAAATCAGAGCACTTTAATCGAAAATCGGAAAATCGCTTTCCTCGGAACCGAGTAACACGGATTCCGAACTCGGAAAAAAGCTTGGAATTTTGAACGCACTTTAATTCGTAGATTTCATCCGAGCTCGGAAAAGCGGCGTTTCCGAGAACTTGGACTCGGAAATCAGAGCACTTTGATCGGCTCCTGGATATAGTGAATAGTGATAAATTCCGAAGACGAGACGCTGGGCCTGTTTCATAGGAGATTTTTTGGTAAAAATAATCTATATCAGTATTGGAGGAATATATGTTCGCTTTCCTCATCAGCTGAGCTCAGGAGTTTCCTATACAGTGTTGGAGTGTGAATATATGTTCGCTTTCCTCAGCAGCTGAGCTCAGGAGTTTCCTATACAGTGTTGGAGTATGAATATATGTTCGCTTTCCTCACCAGCTGAGCTCAGGAGTTTCCTATACAGTGTCGGAGTATGAATATATGTTCGCTTTCCTCACCAGCTGAGCTCAGGAGTTTCCTATACAGTGTCGGAGTATGAATATATGTTCGCTTTCCTCACCAGCTGAGCTCAGGAGTTTCCTATACAGTGTCGGAGTATGAATATATGTTCGCTTTCCTCAGCAGCTGAGCTCAGGAGTTTCCTATACAGTGTTGGAGTATGAATATATGTTCGCTTT